GCCGCAATCCCTTCTCCTCCATTCTCCTCTCCGGATCTTGGGCACGCACGCACACGCGCCCAGCATGAGTTTAAGCCGGGCCCGAGTCCAGCAACATAGCCATTACGCCATCTGCTGGTCCCTACAAATTCATCAAACTCACTATTGAACACTAAGTTATACTGTGCATATCCAATAAGAGTTCTACTCTTTTATTTTGAAAGTACATATTGAATCTTCCATGACATACTTCACTCTGCTGTGGTATACCATTGCAGACCCTTCTCCACTTTCTACATGCGTTCCGTGCCTATTAATCATTTTCTCCCACACCCCCTCACCTCCCCACTGTCCCCAGAAGAAAAGTCTTTTTTTTTTTGAGAGGTTTTTGCTATAGGGAGCATGCACTCGCCAGACAGACAGAGAGAGACAGAAAGACAGAAAGCAAGAAATCACCCCCCAGAGGGGATGGCCGCACCGCAATCCCTTCTCCTCCATTCTCCTCTCAGGATCTTGGGCACGCACGCACACGCGCCCGGCGTAAGTTTTAAGCCACCGGGTCCAGGACGCGAACCGCAGTCAACTACGTGGGAGTCCAGCGACACAGCCATTACGCTAACTGCTGGTTCCCCAGAAGAAAGGTCTTATCACTGGAGACTGAGTGTCCGTACTGAAATGGGCCTGTGAAAACAAAACCACTGAAATAACCTTTATCTTCTATTAATTTCCCCCATATATTTCCTAATTACTGTCCCACAATTTACTGTTTCTAGTTCAAGACTTTTTATTTTTTTTTTAATGTTTGCTATAGGGTGTGTGCACTTGCCAGATAGATAAAGACAGACAGAAAGTGAGAAATAAACCCCAAGGGGGGTGGCCACGTCACAATCCCTTCTCCTCCATTCTTCTCTCAGGATTTTGGGCATGCAGGCACACATACCTGGCATGAGTTTCAAGCCACCAGGTCCAGGACTTGAACTGTGGTCAGCTATGTGGGAGTCCAACAACATAACCATCGTGCCATGTGCTGATCCCATAGCTCAAGCCTCTTAGTCTCATCACAGTAGATTGTTCTCTGTGTAAAAAGGCATGTAGTTTTGGCCCTAATGGCTTCTTCATTTCCTTTTGAAGTTTCCCATGTAAAGGCAAAAATATTAAATCAAATGTGTATGCTTTTTTTCCGTAAGTCTGTCTTATATCAGTTGCAATTTTTTTTTCCTTTTTTTTTTTTTTTAAAGTTTTGCTATAGGGCACATGCATGCTTGCCAGAGAGAGAAACCGAGAAAGTGACAAATCACTCCTGGAGGGATGACCATGCTGCAATTCCCTCTCCATTCTCCTCTGGGAATTTTGGACACATCCAAACACATGCCTGGCATGTTTCTCAAACCAATGGTCCAGGACTCGAATCGCATAGTTGGTCATGTGGGATCCAGCCACTTTAATCACCACACCTCCGACTCGTCAAGCCTAACTGCCAAACCTAAGAGAACAGAAAAGAGTTTTTCCTCTACTACAGCATCTTTTTTTTTTTTTAAAGATATTTTTTACTATAGGGTGCATGCACCTGCCAGAGAAACAGAGACAGAAAGCAAGAAATCACTCCCCAGGGGTATGGCCACTCTGCAATCCCTTCTCCTCCATTCTCTCGGGATTTGGGGCATGCATGCACATGCTCCCGGCATGAGTTTCAACTCACGGGTCCAAGACTTGAACCATGGTCAACCACTTGGGAATCCAGTACCTTAAGCATTATACCACCTGCTGGCCCCTCTTTCTTTCTTTTTTTTTTTTTTTAGTAAATATTATTTATTTAATTTTATTTATTATTATTTTTAAATTTGCTATAGGGCACTTTTGCTCACCAGAGATAGAAAGAAAAAGACAGAAAACAAGCAAGCCACCAGGTCCAGGACTAGAACCGCATGCAGCAAGCCACATGGGAGTCCTTAATCACCATGCCACCTTCTGCCCCTCCCAATATCTTAATAAATCTTACCTAAAGGTAGGAAAAATGAAGCAAAGCTAAATATGTGACTGCCAAAGCATTCACGGTTATAAAACACCAGCCAAAATAGGGCCATGTTTGGCTATTCGGTGTTTTGGGCAATGTTCATATTTTTGACTGTGTTCAGACATGATTGATCATGTTTTTGTTTGGGTTTATCACAGTCACAGAGTAGCCTTGTCTGATGGTGATGTTTTGTGCAATTGTTTATTTCAAGACATCAGTGCCAGCTACCAGGGTTCTGATTTTCTTTCTTATTCATTCCTAACTTTTTAAAAGAGGTTTTTTTTTTTTTTTTTGTTTTTTTGTGAGGTTTTCGCCAAAGGGTGCGTGTGCGC